CAATTGGTGTTATTTTTATAAGAATAGGAACTCTAAAAATGTTCATTAAGTAAATGTGAATTTTTTCATCCAAGTTAGAGAAACAGAAAAGCCAACTTATTATTTTACAATGAGAGGTACTATAATGATAATTCTACCGTTTACTCGATAAAGAAAATGAGCCAGAACCATATCTCCTATCTTTCAGACATTAGTTCTCATCATCATGCTCCAGAACTAGAATTTCCCCCTAATTTACAAACAGAGGAAGTGAAGGGCAGAGGGATTGCTTAGCTTTGCTCAAGGACATGCACCATGTAAGTGTTAGAGCCGGAATCTGAACTCAGGTCTGTCTTCCTACAAAGCTGATTCTCATCGCACAGTTGTCTGCCTCTCTATGACAATAACAAGAACACTAGTGGAGCAGCTAACAACACGCCAGGCGTCACGCTACTTGACATGGCTAACTCACATGACGCAGTTCGTTTAACACTCTCAACAACCCTGGGCGATCTTGTTACATTTCAGATGTGGAAACTGAGGCTTGGGGAGGTGAAATAATCACCCAAGGTTATGTAGAGGGTAAGTCCCAGAAGCTGAATCCAAACTCAGAAACCCGGGCCCTTGGCCACTGCGTGATGCTGCCCCTATCCTGTGGCAGAAGAACGTCGACTCAGGGACCAGAGGAAAGCCGGAACCAGGACTAAAATGCCTTGTGTGTCAGGGAAGGGGGTTTGGATCTTCTTGTGAAAGGTCACTGTCAGATGGCCCAAGGCAAGGGAGTGGGGGAACAGCAAGAAGTGTTCTGGGGATTTCTACCCATTTCCTCTATAAAATAAGGAATCAGACCAGATAACTTCTAAACTCCTTTTAGTTCTGAAACACTGTATTGAAGTTTGTAACATTCCCTTCCTTACAACCTCCCAGGGGCTTCTCTGTGCAATCAGGACAAAATCCTTCCCTGGCTTCATGGTCTGCAACGCTCTGCAGGCTACAGCCCCTGCCTGCCTCTGACTCAGCAGTCACGAGCTTTGCTGTTCTAGAATGTCCTGGATGAGGACCTCTACACCTACTGTTTCCTCTGCCTGAAATGTCCTTCCCCGATCTTTCCTTGATGGTTCCTGAAACGCCACTTCCTTCCAGAGGTCTTCCATGACCACTGCATCTTAAGTAACACGCCCTCCCTCCTTATTCTCCACCTCATTCCTGTTTTATTTTCTTCATACCAATTACCACTGTTGGAAATTTACGGTTTTTATTACTTATTCATTTATTGTACTCTACCCTCATCCATCGTCCCGTAAGCTCCATGAGGGCAGGGATCCTGTTGATCTGGTTCGTGGCCGTAGGCTCTGTGCTGATGCCTGGCACGTAATAGATTTGCTGAATGAATGAATGGATAGATGACTACAGCTTTTGCAGCCCACATAGCACATAATAGGAGCTCAAAAACCGAATGATAGTAATAATAACCATAAACATTTATCAAGCTCTAATGATTGGCACTGTGTTAGTCCTCACCACAACTCCACGAGGTCGGTGTTATCATTATCCTAGCTTTACAGATGAGGAAACTGAATGTTTGCAAGACCAAGCAACTTGTGCAAAGTCAGAGAGCTAGTAAATTAGCCCAGATTCAAAACAAGAAAGTCTAATTTCAGCACAGTGTTATTTGTTAACGGACTGGCTTCTGTAAAGAGAAACTGCTCCTAACTCTGTTTGGATTAGTGGTCTCACACTTTCAAAGAGCATTTCTTGGGTAGTGACTGCTGTGTCCTGGGTCTCAGGCTAGATAAAGGTGATAGGTACCTAAGATACAGGGGTGAATAACATGATACAGTTCCCAACCTCAGGGGGCTCAGCTTAATAAGAATAAAACAAATACGCGAGTGTGCTAGAATGGACGTCTCCATGACCCAAACACTCCTCCCTGCCCTCCAAAAACCTTGTACTGCTGGAGGCTTATCGTCTTAATTGTTCCCTCGAACCTTGCCCAGGTATTTAATTTTGCCTTCATTACATTATATTCTAACTGCTTAGCACTGTCTAGGAGGAACTGACGAGCCATCATTTACTGAGTCCCTTCACAGAGCAGGTGATTTCCAAATAGTCACCAACTGAATCCCTACAACAACCCTGCAGAGGGCTGCAGTTATTCCTACTTCACAGATGAGCAGCCAACAGCTCACTGGGGTGGTGGATTACAACTTGATGGTTAGGATACAGTGTCTGAGTAGAATGCAGTACTACAAATATTAGGACAGAGGGATGTGGGTGCAAAGACCTATGGGAGCCCCACGAAGGAAGAGGCTGTTAGCCTCCGTAGACGTTTATTTTAATACTATGATTGTTAACAAACATGAGATTATGTGGCTTTTTAGTAACTTATTAGTTTTGTAGTTTAAATGTTTAAAAACCGTGTATATCTCACTTTGTAAAATATATTAACAATATCTTCACTTTTGGGGGAAAGTAAATACTTTTCCAATTTATTTTATACTTTTACCAAGATTAATCTGTTCGAAGCTTTTTTATTATAATAATTAGAACATAGAATTCAAGATTTTTATATTATATTTCCCTGTTATATAGCCTGTCATTTTTCCCTTCTGGGGCAGAAAAAAGTACCTTTCTTCAGGTACTATACAGTTTCTTGATTTAGAATGATTCTTAAATGAACCAGTCCTCCCTTCTAGTAGAAATACAGAAGCACGATGAGATAATTACTATTTTTATTTTTTAAAATCCAATATTAGAGTAGTCTCTTGCATGTACATGAATCATGACCGCCTGCTAAGAATGCCCTCAGAAAATAAAGTTAGACTCTGAATGATCTACGTGAAGGCACAAAACCACCAACATCATAAAAAACTGGACAGAAAATAAGACAATCACTATAATACAAAAAAAGTTAATAAAAAACATTTGGATCTCTGCTGGACATCCGAGAGTGAGCCACTTTCTGCCCTCCAGTGAGTGTGTGACGTGACCCCCAACAGCAGCTCTGGGGGCAGGGTCTGCTCCACTGAGAGTTAGTTCATTTTCCAGAAGTGGAGAAGGGGGAAACTTGAATAAAAAGAATTTATTTGGTGAAGTGCACTTTGGTGCTGTTTGAGGTTTTTGAAATATTTAATCATCAGAATATCTCCTATTACCTCCGTGTTAGTAAAGCCACAATCCAGCCTCACAGAAAACGAGAGACAAAGATTCCAGCTGATCGAATAGCGCGGCTACCCTCACAGCATCTTTAGAACCCCATCTTACATTCATGGACTTGGTACCCAACTCTCAGCCCTTACCAGCTTTGCATCCCCGGGGCCTGTGGAAGAGTCTCACAGCAACCGCAAGGCCCTCTCCTTCGGAGTTAAGTAAATATTTGAAAATTATGCAAAGAATTCAGATTCTTTCACTGGGCCTCACAAGAGACTATGCAGCCACAGAGACACAAATAAAAGATTCTTCTTAACTTGAACTGCATTTTGTGATGGTCTTAGAAACCGAAAATAGCTCACTGCTACTCTTTTGCCTAAGAATTCACTGTGACGTCAACACACACACAGAGGTACATACTTTTCTAGAGTCTTAGGACAAGAACAAGTAAATCTAAATATGGATGATATTTATCTGTGTAGAATTGACTGAAATAAATAGTAAATAATGATTTTGAGATCAACATTGCAAAAATTTACGCTCATTATAATTGATGCTTTTTTTTATTTATATAAGTAATATGATGTCAATTCTGATAGCGTTGTGTAAAACTGTACCCTGCTTCTCCAAAGTTAACTCTAATACTATGCTCTCAAAGATCACAGAGATCCACAGGACAGACAATCCTCCTCCCCTTTTTGTGGCAAAGTCCCTTGCAGGAAATGAATTCAGTCCCCACCTCAAAACAGCCCTGACTTATCTATTAGCTACAGTGGGAATAGTGCCTCCGGCCCACAACAATTTCAGATGTCCACGACGGTATTTTCTTTTAAAATCAGAAGACAAAAATGAACATTTAGGTCAAAGAAAATAAATACATAATATTAAGATATTAATCTTTGTATCAATACAGCCATAAATACGTGTGTGTGTATGTTTATGAAGAAGGAACCCATAAAGGCAGAACGCCCAGGGCCCAGGAAGGTCATCACTCTGCCTTGCCTCAAAAATGTCCTCTCAAGTTTTTTTGAATTATTTCTTAGGTATGCCAGATGCCACGGTTCCTTTGTCAGCCAAGGAAAGTTCTCACCTCCTTGTAAGAAACTCTTTCTTTTACTCGATTCGTCTGAGAAAAGTGATTTTTTTTAGAAGCTTTGATTGTTTTAAAGCAATATGTGGTCAGCTAGGAAGTCTCTCCCGCAAAGTTAATTTTTTAAGAGAAGAAGGAAAGTAGGAGGAGATGAGCGCTCTTATGAGACCCGGCGGCTTGCAGGGAAATGCACCTCCACGGGGCCCCGGCGTGGACTGGCTCGCGCTGTCTCCCCGGCGGTCCAGCAGGGGGCGCGTGGCCCTCAGGCCCCGGAGCCGCGCGCTCTCCAGCGCCTCAAGGACCGTATCCCTATTTGCCCCAAGGTCATAGCTCCTAACCGGGCTGGCCAGCGTCGGGCCGGGGACAGCGGGACTAAGCCCTCGGGGCTGCAGACCCCGGCGAGAATGGGGCCGCTGGGCCGGGGCGGGCGGGCTCCGAGGCCGGGGATGCGATCACAATGGGGACAGGGGCTGAAAGGCACCGGGGGCCCGGGGCCCGAGCAGTCCGCGCCGCCGCCAGGCTCAGCGCCCCGGAGGGGGATGGGGTGCGCGTAGACGCTCCGCAGCCCCGTTCGACCCG